CTCGCCTAGTTCAATACGTGACGAGTGATTAGATAGCTGAGAGAGTGTAGTGTTGAAGAGGGCACAGCGATGAGAGTCGCATCAATGCTCGAATCAACGGGCAAGGAAGGGGTACCATTTCTCGGGTTCTGGGCCGTTTCTCATGGTTCTTCCTTCTTTCGTGTACCACTCACCATCCCTAGGTTAATTTGAAATGGGTTGCTTTTTCATCGTGAATTCGTCCTTTAAAGGACTATTCCGACTGCTGCCGAAAGTTCTGCTCAGCAACCAGCGCACCGTTTCGTCCCATGGTACGCCACACCTCCTTTCCTTGGCAGTCATGTAACTGCTTCATGTGTCGCATGTACTTCCTCGAAGCGCTCGCTTCTTAGGCGAATGTCAGAATTTGCGAAGAGCGAATCGCTCGATTCGCAAAGTCTGACATCGGCCTTATTGTAATCGCTTCCCTGAAGAGTGACGTACCCTAATTCTGGATAAAATTATAGTTTATCGTATAAATGTTTCTAAAGTGGAGCAGTGCACAGCATGAGTTTGAAGCAGAATTCGTCATGTGTGAATTACGTGAAGATGAAAGACAGAAAAAGTGCGAAAAAAAAAAGATTTATGGTTACCGTTAGCCATATAAAAAATATGCAATTAGGAGAGAAAACAAGTTCTGGGAAGATCTAGAAAAACTTTTTAAAAATCACAAAACCTAACAAAACACCAACAGTGGCCAAACGCGAGGAAGCACCACCAGTAGTAGCGCCGTCGCTCGTTTGCGGATCATCTTCTCAGCTAGCTCTTTCTAAATCAGTGATCGTTGTTGTCAATTTTCAGTGACTAATCAAGGTACTAACTCTGCTCAGTAATCTCGAATCGATTTTTTGGCCGAATTTTTTTTTTATGAAGCTGAACGTTGCTTCGATTACGACTTCAACAACCATTTTTGTCAGTTGGGCCAAATTGGGCCCTTCTGCTGTTTCGGAGGAATGCGGGATAACCTCCCATGCAGGGGTCACTGGGTGTCGCCGTTTGCTGCTACCTCGTTGGGGGGGGGGGGGGAGGTGGGCACGCGGCGCTGCGGCGGCTCTGTTTCGAACTTATTGCCTCCCAAGGTTCAGTCTCAGGAGCAATTACTTTTCGCCAATCACTTGGCAATCTGAAATACTGCGCGGAGGGACTAAGCCTTTGGAGGAACAGACCGAACAGGAATCACGTGCCGCTGCGTGGTCCCTCACGTAGGGCATACTAGCACCGCCCCGATACGAATATGACATCCATTCTCGAACCAGAACCAAAATGAACGTTGAGGTGTGGCTCACTAGGACAGAAAGCGAAATTCCCGCTTTTCGCAGCGCTAAGATCGCTGCGGGTATCCCACGTCCCAGCTCGATTAGTGGAACCCGATTCCTGCAACGAAAAATGTTCTGCGGTGCGAAACGCGAAAAAGACGCTTTCTGTCTTGGCGATTCACACTCTGAACGTCGTAGTTAGGGCACCAAATAGATAAATTCTATTTATGAATGAAGTTCCAGCAGGCACTTTTTAAAGGTCTTCGGTGTGTGTAGTAGAATACCTCTAAGACTTAAAAATGCTGAATTGATGTAAAGTCATTCTACATTCATCTTCTCAATGGTAAAATGTAGCGGAGTTTTAAGTGTATGTAAACTGTAATGGTAAACGGTATAGGGTAATGTTCAGTAAAACTAAGCTTTTCTTAAGCTCACTCACTAGCTCACTTTCGGAAAAATCCGTAAGGCATGGTTGGAGGCATGATACGTGAGGGCGTCGCCTAGGCAAGCAGCGTGGTCTTTGTCGTGGTCCCAAATACCCAGGAGCGCGACCACTTGCACTTAAAATTTTGGTATTGTGCGCCTTAAACTAGAGGTGAAGAAGGTGGTTATGACGCGAGCTTGTGCGCTGAGTTGCCACGTATTGCGACCACAACTTTAGTTGACTGCAGGTTAATTTATAGTGTAAATAATAGTAATGTTTTGAATATATTTCATCATAGTGTTGCGATAAAAGGTGCTAAGACAGGGGGTCTAGAACTCACTTCAGAAATCGAATCGTCACCCCACATGAATCTCTCGTTACACTTGTGATTTCCACGGCAACAGCACAGTCTTCCTTTCTTCTCCACTTCGTCTTCCTGGAAAACGCATGTTATATGCATTGATTCCTGCCATTTTGTGTTCATTTTTTGGTGGTCCCAAGAAACCCGAGAAATGGGACCCTTCCTTGCCTGTTGATTTGCGCATTGATGCGACTATCATCGCTGTGCCCTCTTCAACACTACCCTCTCTCTGCTATCTAATCAATCGCCACGTTAGACCTGCGGCGCCGCCAACCGCGCCAAGAGTGAGCCATGCTGGATCGCGGAGTCAATTCTTTCGCTGTCATTGCGCATCGGTCACCACCTCGGCAGGCAGGGTGAATAACGGTCGAGGAATTCCTCGACCATCGCTCTCTGTTGTGCGAGAGCAGAGCCGATAGGGAATGCACGCGCTGGCGGAGCACTGCGGTTCTCAGCAGGGTCAACCGTCACGTTCGAACATTTTCGGGATTTTTGCGACCCCCTAGCTCTCGAGGGGTCCAGTTGCGACCCCCTGTTTTTGTTAATAAGAGTGCTAGACATGAATCCGTTGCGCCAGAAAGCGTCTGCGCGCCGCCGCAGAAAGCGTCTGCGTTGCGGCGTCAGCCTTGGAGCGCGGCAGGTATCACCCGGGCGCTGGAAGAACGGGACGCGGCGAAGAAAAAATTTTAGAGGGGAATAACTTTCTTGGGACGTACTTTTTTGACTTGTTGAGGTAGATTTTGATTGTGCCTGAGGTGCGCTTTCAGAAAACTACAAGGATTTGCAAACTCAAGAATTTCACCTCACTTTGAAGGCACCTCTAAATCTTTTTCGTAAATGCGACATTTTGAAATCTTAAAACGTTCCGAAACTTCAAAAAAAAAAAAAAAAATTTAAAAAAAAAAATATTTCTCTATCAAAACAGTATTAAAAAATTTAGTGCTCGACCCCTTTAAAAAAAATTGTCCCGTTCGAACATTTTCGTGCAAAAGCGAGTTTTTGGGCTTTCAGCGGCCATAACTCACTTCATTTTCATTTCTGTGATGCACTTTTTTCATGGGGTGAAAGTACAGGATTTGCTCTTTCTAACAAGCCCCAAACCGTTTTTCAAAGTTCATTTTTCGAGAAAATCACACGTTCGAACATTTTGGGGGGTTTTGCCGAACACTTTTTTTGAAATCGCGAGTTTTTGGGCTTTAAGCGGCATAACTCACTTCATTTTCATTTCTGTGATGCACTTTTTTCATGGGTGGAAAGTACAGGATTTGCTCTTTCTGACAAGCTTTTAACCGTTTTTCAAAATCCATTTTCCGAGAAAATCACACGTTCGAACATTTTGTTCCCATAGGTTTTTGAGCAGCACATGCGAGTTTTTGAGCTTTCAGCAATAATAACTTCCTTCAAAAAGCTTGTTGGGGAGGGACGAAGACATTTTTGAAGACTACGAGATTTACGCTTACTCATGTATATTACAGTTCTCTAGAAGAAGCGCCCCAAAAAATTAGGTCTTTGAAGAACTTTATTTTCAGCCCCGAGAAGTCAAACCTTTCATAAGGATGCATTCAACACTTCTTTACTGCGTAGGAAAACACCGTAATTTGCCTAAAACTGTCTCTCTGTGCATAATAAATCGAATCTAATGCGGTCTGCACAAGCAAGTCTTGCCCTCGGATACGCCACGCACGCGCCTGTGGCTGGCAGTCCTCGAAATTGCGACCCCCTTCCGACCAAAATGCGACCCCTTCGTTCGAACAGTTCGAACGGACGGTTGACCCTGCCCAGGTGGAGATGAATACCGGCGCACGTGAAGAACGAAAGGCAGTCGAAAATCCTCGACGATGTCGTTTGATAGGCATCCTCAGGCAATAGTCAGCCCTGCTCCAAGGAGGTCCCGCGTCTGTTTTGCTACTAATGGCAGTTTCATCTCTTTAAACGCGTTCGTTTTTTATCGTAATTGCTCCTTTAAACCTCAAACGTGCGTCCGAGCTCGGCGAGGAAGGGGGCATATGAATTCCTTGAGAAGCAAATCCTGCACATTTATGAAAACTTTTAAGCCTCACGCTAAACGCATCTCATCCCCCTAAATACGATTCCCTCCCGACCATCGCGTTTTTCTTTTTGAGGGGTTCAGACGTCCCATGCATTTCTCAACACATGCATCCACGAGCTTCTCCCGAATGCTTGGCACGTGCATTTGTGGCACGCTGCCTTATGTGACTCGCAGAAAATGAAGGACATAGTCCACGCACGCTTCCAAAACATTCGGGTCAGCAGATTTGGGTCGGAAAAGAGGAAGTGAAACCGAATACTCATCAACAAGGTCGTGAATAACTTGTAAACCACATAAACAGGAAAGGTGCAACAGGTCTGCGATGGATACGAAAAGAGACTAGGTGCCGGAGGGACATCCCCAAAAGCATAGGTAATAGGTAGAGCCGATGTCATAGTTATACGATCCGAGCGTTGCGCCAGCGAATTGAACGTTGCACCAGCGAATCGAACTTTGTGCCAGCGAGTCGAACGATGTACCAGCGAGTCGAACTAGGTACCAGCGACTCAATAGTGGCGGGACCCAACGTTTCAAAGAGAAGCCGCGCCACTTTTCAAACAGTGTCACGTGACAGTGGACGCTTAGGCCTGGTACATCCGTTCGAACTCGGCTGATCATGCGTCGATGCTCTGGTGCAACGTGATTCGCTGGCGCAACGCTCTTACATCCAAAATTCGCTAGCGAATTCCCTCAGACTTCGCGAACCTATGACATACGGCCTAGCAGATGTTAAATAGTTAATACAAAGTCTAAAAGGCGCACGAAACACTTATTGCTGATCTGCCCAACAATGAAAACCGAATTGAAACCAAACTGTCGCCAATTTGTTATTTAATGGGCGACTACTACACTATTACATAACCCCGAGTAGGGGTGCGGGGGTCAAAAAATAATTTTCGCCTGCAGACGTCGGTTAGTCGAGGGTCCTCATCACGAATATGATATTCATTTTTGGCGCTTTGGCGCCAGGTGGCGCCACGACTGATTCCCACTAAATTCGCTGTAAACTTCTGTATAGGGGTTATTTGGGGTCCTGATTACGAATATGACATTCGTTTTTGTTGTTGCGCTATTCGGCGCCTATTTCCTGCTCGTCTGCGCCCTCGCACTAATTAGATCGCAATCAGGACTAAGCCTTTGAATAGTGGAGGGCTCCAAAGTGAGTAGGCACTCCCCTGTGGTCTAACACACTCCAACTTTTGCCACACGGTGCGTGGTTTACCCACTCCGGAGTTTCACTCCCCTCCCCTAAGCTTAGTCGTAGGCGCTATAGGTGAGAAAGCTTAGAAAAGCAGAAAGTGTGCGTTAAACAAACACTGAATGCTCAAAAAGAGTGTCACCAGGGCCCCAAATAGGCCCCTTATACAGAAGCTTACAGCGAATTTGGTGATAATCAGTTGTGGCGCCAACTCGCGCCAAAAAATGGATATCATATTCGTGATCAGGACCCTCGATAACCCCCATAGCAAAAGTTTCAGCGAAAATTATTTTTTGACCCATCTCGGCCCCCACTGGGGTTGTAATAGTGCAATAGTGCCTCGTATAGAAGGTCGCCCTTTTGTACCCCAAATCAATTTTCAATGCTTCAAGTAGGATGGTTTCGCGTTTGGAAAAACCTAGAGCACAGGAAAAGAGTGGGCGTTCGTCAGAGGTCAGATGCAGGCCAGGGCGGGGTCTGTTTGAGAAGGTGACTGTTACATTTTTAGGTTCACACCGTCCGCTACGCGGGTGTCTCTCACAATGATAGCTAATATCAAGTTCCTTGATACCTTTGCCCTTTTTCAGCAGCATAGCCCAATTTGCGAGATGGACTGTGCCTTTATGAACATTAGCGAAGATTCTGAATCAATCGGAAATTCGATAAGTGGCGGTGGAAAAACGCAAAGCAAAGGCATAAAAAATAGAGAATTAGAGAGCAGTTCCTAACAAACAGCATCTGAAACGTGGAGGTTTGCTGAAATATGATACACAGAAAATGCCGGCTGAGTAACTAGTTCATAGATGAGCAGAGAACAGAGGAAACAATATATTTACATTTATTTAAGAGCAGGAGAGATAGTGAAGGTGTGAGGGACGAAAGGACTGAGGTGGCGTGAGCTTTTTCGAAGTGAGCCTTCTTAGCGAAATTTTCCCTCGCCTTCTCTCTTCTTTTGGAGGGCATGGCACTTGAGTGGGCGGCCGCTTAGCGGCAGGATTGATTTTGTAGCGCTTTCGCAAGGCTCTCTTCCTTGAATCAGCTTATCGCAAAATACGGGGACATTTTTAAGTACCACCTAAAGAGGGGACAGGAATTCGATTGAATGAGATGGCATGAGTCTGTATTCATGAACACAGGAACACGTAGAGCTGTAGAAGAAGTGCAAGCTTGGTTGCTCCCCAAACATACCTCGAATAAAAAATCAAGGCACATTGCTTGAGTGCCATTCGAATAGTCCACGCCCCATGTAATATCACTACATGAAGGCAAACCAACAAAACGCTCGGTATCCATCCAATTTGTGTTATTTTGAACTTCTGAAAAATATTATTTGTTTCGCTAGACTTTCTCGATTACTGTATCTTTTTACCGTATGCTGGTCCTTGGAAATGTGATGCATCATTGTCTTCCGCGAACGGCAACCACGATGTACTGTTGTCAGGCCTCCATCAACCTCCTGAAAATCATCCGATGTTTTTGTATGAAACGGCAGTAAAATGGGCATGGCTCCCCACCGCTGTAAGAAAAGCGAAACACCATGGGATCATCACATGCTCTGAACAGTTTGAGATCTTCGCCGGTTCTTCAACAGTGTTCACGCATTGCTGAAAATCTTTTCTAAATCACTTTAAACTCGACGATGGCCATGGCAATCCACGAAAAGTATATGCAGCATTTACGGAAATCGGAACAAACCTGTCCGACGGAGTATCTCGGAGACACTGGTATAAAACCAAGGTTGCAGCCATCCTAAGAAAACATTTAATTCATCACTTCATATGCCGCAGGTAACATCGAGGTCTTACTAGGTCTGTGGAACGATGGTGCCACGCAATCTGTTGCGCGAATATAAACCTTGGCGCAAGCACTCCAAGTAAAGGCAGTAACACAGGATTGGAAAAAGGTGAACAGCTTTGTAAGGTCCGTTGAGAATCACTGATGGATGTGGCGTTAGTTGGGTAGCCCCAACGACGCCCTCTCACCCCCCCCCCGCCCCACCTCTAAACACTTCTGTAAGTGCCTGATCCAGTAGTGAAAGTCTGCTAGGTCATCGAAACCGCTCCGCCTCCATTAAATGAACCCTCCCACCACAAGCACCTTAGAAAGAAGCAGGGAGGCATCCCAAATCCCTACCGCCTCGCACGTTGCGATCGTCCATTATATACACTCAGAAATTGAGACACTCCGCCGCCTTTAGAGATGCTCCGAATACGCCCTCACCCCCAATGTTAGTTAGGTTTAGTTGCTCCCCAAATTCGACCTCCTTACCGTTATCCCGCCCACTGTCCACTGCTTCATGGCTGTTTCTGTAGTGTTTGATTCTGAGACAGTCAACACAGCCCAACTCGAAAGTGATATTCCGGAGTGGGTGAACTACGCAGCGTGTGGCAAAAGTAGGAGTGTATTAGATCACAGAGGAGTGCCCTACCCACTTTTGGGACCTCCACTATTCGAAGGCAGTCCTAATTGCGATCCAATTAGTGCGAGGGCGCAGACGAGCAGGAGATAGGCGCCGAATAGAACAACGAACGCCCACGTTCCCCTCCAAAACCCCTCGTAGCGGTATGGGGAAGGAAGTGATCAGATGATCGGTGGGCGGAGATCGCCGGACCCGCCAGCTTTGAGGCATGATAGGTCGCCGAGGTCAAATTTTTCCATGCGAATTGCGCGTCAGTTCGCACCCTCAGGAGGTCCGTGGGTCCCTCAACTAGGTCAGTTTCCCTTTCTTCGACCTTCATTCTAATCGTGAATTCCTCCTTTAAGCCACGTTTTCGAAATTGCACATCTAGGCGATTATGCAATTCGGCTAAAAAGACAAGGATACGTATCCATCAAACGAATAGATATGTAGGTGATTAGGCAGTTGGGCGACTATCCATTAGACTAGTAAAATTGAATACGTATCGACTAGCTCGCTCTTCCCGTTGAATGATCGCTTATCGTTAGTCATCCAGTCGCCTAATCGATGCGCATCGTTTCAGCATGGTCGCTCAATCGGCGTTTATAGTTCGCGACTTTGGAGTTCAGGATAGCGGGTGGCAAAGAGAAGATACGTATTGGTGGAGAGATTAGGATAGTAGTAGAGTAGGAGATTGCGCTGACAAGATTAGATACGTATCGATTGAAATCGCCGGAGAGTAGTAGATTGCGATATTACGATAGTAGGATAGTAGTAGAGTAGGAAATTAGGAGTTACCATTAGTAGTCGATCAGGACTGTATTGATCGATTGGCCTGAAGACGCCTAACCTACCGCTCTCCTACTGTACTATACTATTCTCGTACTATATGTACCCTCCCTTTCAAAAAAGGGAAGGGCCGTCGTCACTTGTGGTGTATGGTCTGCACCCGACGCTCTTCTCGTTTTTTGACAGGGAGGATAATTAACCTTCCAGATGAATATCCTGTTATCGCACTGTCGTCATTTCTTGCCGCTTACTATCCTAATGTGCGAAGTCGAGAAGTATGAACGCAGCTTCAGCGATATGGATGAGAGCTTTGATAGCACGTTTATTGAGAGTAACATTTTTATAGGGACCACTGAATGAGCCTAATGGTGCAGAGAAGCAAGGTTGACGGCAACAAAACCCGGTCTGGCTTTGGAATCTTAACTTCCTGCTGTAGGATGATGACTCATGATTCTTCAACGATGATTAGTCTAGAACACGGCCGAAACCTCTCGCGACCTTCTCATTGAATCGCGGACTTTTACAGTCTCAACGTTCCTAGAACAAGATCTGTCGACAAAGCGGTGCACAATGACTAATGGGTCCATCTGTATCA